CTCCTTCTCCCCTCTGGACTCTGGCTGGCTTTCCCAGTTTGAAATCTTCTGCAGTGTTTCTGGTAAACTACAATGCTTATCAACCATTCTCCTTATCCTTGGGGGCGTATTGAATATCAGATGAAAACACTACAGAATTGGACAAGCAATTATTTAGTTTTATAATAATTTTTAATGATTAGAGTAAGCCGATTTTCTCTTGCAGCAGTCTGAGATGAAGAGGAAAAACTGAGATGAGCTCACTGATCTTCACTTGATTTTCAGCAGTCCGGGAACAGAATGTGATCTGCAAGTTGCATGGTCCAAAGAATACAAAAAGAGATGCAAGCCAGTGCCACACTTATGCTTAGCTTAGTTGCCTTTTTACAAAATCATGCTGTTCAAGATCTTCTCTCCTGTTGTTTCTCCAGGGTGGTTCTTGCCCACTCTAGCTATCACTGACCGAAGGAATTCCATGGACACTGTGAGTTGAGGGACAAACAGTGACCAAGGAAGCATGTGATTAACAGCCTTACACAATAGCCATTCAACCCCAAGGCACAGATGAGCTCCTGTAGCACCTTAATTGGGTTTTTGTATATATATGAGATTAATGAAACCTCTCCATTTAAAACTTAACAATGTCCTAGAAAGCTTAGTGTCCAGCCACTGCCTGAAAAAGCCATGTCTGGGCCATACCCTATGGGATTTGTAAATCAGCTGCCTTGTCATTGCCATCAAGAAAGTCCATGGGCCATCATATCATATGCTGAGTCTTCTCTTCTTTCACTCTCTATTACTTTTTCCTTAAAGCAATCACATGTGTAACCCACCTCACTATTTTGGAAGAGATGTACATTAACTTTTTTATTCACTCATTTACACACTCATTCTCTGTAATCTTATTAACCTGCTCTCCCTCTAAAATAGGATGGTCAGAGTAAATACAGGCCATCCAATTAAATTTGAATTTCAGATAAACAACTCTTTAGTACAAAAATGTTTCAAAACTTACAATGGGGAATACTTATTTTTTTTGTTTTTTTTTATAAATTAATTTTTATTGGTGTTCAATTTACCAACATTAAGAATAACACCCAGTGCTCATCCAGTCAAGTGTACCCCTCATTGCCCGTCACCCATTCACCCCCACCCCCTGCCCTCCTCCCCCTCCACCACCCCTAGTTCATTTCCCAGAGTTAGAAGTCTTTATGTTCTGTCTCCCTTTCTGATATTTCTCACACATTTCTTCTCCCTTCCCTTATATTCCCTTTCACTATTATTCATATTCCCCAAATGAATGAGAACATACACTGTTTGTCCTTCTCCGGTTACTGTGGCCAAGTTCAAAAAGGGTGTTGCCTGAGTTCTTCTCTGGGATTTTGATGGAATCTTGTCTCACATTTAGATCTTTCATCTATTTTGAGTTTATCTTTGTGTATGGTGCATGAGAGTGGTCCAGTTTCATTCTTCTGCATGTGGATGTCCAATTTTCCCAGCACCATTTATTGAAGAGACTGTCTTTCTTCCAGTGGATCGTCTTTCCTCCTTTATCGTATATTAGTTGACCATAAAGTTCAGGGTCCACTTCTGGGTTCTCTGTTCTGTTCCACTGATCTATGTGTCTGTTTTTGTGCCAGTACCACACTGTCTTGATGAACACAGCTTTGTAGTACAACCTGAAATCTGGCATTGTGATGCCCCCAGCTATGGTTTTCTTTTTTAAAATTCCCCTGGCTGTTTGGGGTCTTTTCTGATTCCACACAAATCTTAAAATAATTTGTTCTAAGTCTCTGAAGAAAGTCCATGGTATTTTGATAGGGATTGCATTATACGTGTAAATCGCCCTGGGTAACATTGACATTTTCACAATATTAATTCTGCCAATCCATGAGCATGGAATATTTTTCCATCTCTTTGTGTCTTCCTCAATTTCTTTCAGAAGTGTTCTATAGTTTTTAGGGTATATTTTGAGAACCATTTGAATGGTAAATGGTTCTCCAACCTTTTATTTTCAGGTTGTAGGTGTCCTTCTGTCTAAAATGAGTCTCTTGTAGACAGCAAATAGATGGAGCTCGGAGGGGCTCGGGCGGCGGCTCCGCGGAGGGGGCTGCGGGGCGGGAGCGCGAATCCACCAGCGCAGGCCCCGGAGCACAGGGCGCCGGGACACAGCCCAGGATCCGGCCTCCCCCGGGACAGGCAGAGGCCGGGAGGGCCCAGGACAGCGAGGACGCTCCTGCCCCGAGCTGAGCAGACCAGCGGCCCCGCCCCGGAGCCTCCAGGCCCTGCAGACGGAGAGCCCCGTAGTTCCTGCGGAGGCTGAATCCAGGCTTCCAGAGTTGCCATAGCAACTGCGGCTGATCCTCCTGGGACCCCACGGGGTAAACAACCCCCGCTGAGCCCTGCAGCAGGCAGGGGCAGAGCAGCTCCCCCAAGTGCTAACACCTGAAAATCAGCACAGCAGGCCCCTCCCCCAGAAGACCAGCTGGACGGACCAGTGATACTCCCCCGTGTTCCAATACAACTTGTTTTTGGCCACTCTGCACTGAGCAAAATGACTAGAAGGAAAACCTCAACTCAAAAGAAAGAATCAGAAACAGCCCTCTCTCCCACAGGGTTACAAAATCTGGATTACACTTCAATGTCAGAAAGCCAATTCAGAAGCACCATTATACAGCTACTGGTGGCTCTAGAAAAAAGCATTAAGGACTCACGAGACTTCACGACTGCAGAATTTAGATCCAATCAGGCAGAAATTAAAAATCAATTGAATGAGATGCAATCCAAACTAGAAGTCCTAACGACGAGGGTTAACGAGGTGGAAGAACGAGTGAGTGACATAGAAGACAAGTTAATGGCAAAGAGGGAAACTGAGGAAAAAAGAGACAATCAATTAAGGGACCATGAAGACAGATTAAGGCAAATAAATGACACTCTAAGGAAGAAAAACCTACGTTTAATTGGGGTTCCCGAGGGCGCCGAAAGGGACAGAGGGCCAGAATATGTATTTGAACAAATCCTAGCTGAAAACTTTCCCAATCTGGGAAGGGAAACAGGCATTCAGATCCAGGAAATAGAGAGATCCCCCCCTAAAATCAATAAAAACCGTTCAACACCTCGACATCTAATAGTGAAGCTTGCAAATTCCAAAGATAAAGAGAAGATCCTTAAAGCAGCAAGAGACAAGAAGTCCCTGACTTTCATGGGGAGGAATATTAGGGTAACAGCAGACCTCTCCACAGAGACCTGGCAGGCCAGAAAGGGCTGGCAGGATATATTCAGGGTCCTAAATGAGAAGAACATGCAACCAAGAATACTTTATCCAGCAAGGCTCTCATTCAAAATGGAAGGAGAGATAAAGAGCTTCCAAGACAGGCAGGAACTGAAAGAATATGTGACCTCCAAACCAGCTCTGCAAGAAATTTTAAGGGGGACTCTTAAAACTCCCCTTTAAGAAGAAGTTCAGTGGAACAATCCACAAAAACAAGGACTAAATAGATATCATGATGACACTAAACTCATATCTGTCAATAGTAACTCTGAACGTGAATGGGCTTAATGACCCCATCAAAAGGCGCAGGGTTTCAGACTGGATAAAAAAGCAGGACCCATCTATTTGCTGTCTACATGGGGAATACTTATGCTAAAAATTATTCATTGTTTTTCTGGGCATCTTGTATTTTTATTTGCTAAATCTGGCAACCCTGTCCCAAAGAAAAAATCTGAATCTCTGACAGTCTTTATTACAAATATTGCATTTAAGAAATTGAAGGTTTGTGGCAACCCTGCATCAAGCAACTCTACTGGTGCCATTATTTGCTCACTTCATGTCTCTGTGTCACATTTTGGTAGTTCTCACAATATTTCAAACTTTTTCATTATTATTTTGTTTAAATTGCTGCAATCTCATGATAAAACTTGAATGAATGAGGAGTGGCTTCTTATGGATGAGGAGTAGTTTCTTGTGATGGAATCTATACCTGGAGAAGATGCTGTGAAGATTGTTGAAATGACAACAAAGAATTTAGAATATAACATAAATTTGGTTGATAAACCAAAAGCAGGTTTTGAGAGGACTGACCTCATCTTTGAAAGTTCTATAGGTAAAATGCTATCAAACAGCATCACATGCTACAGAGAAATCATTCTTGAAAGGAAAAGTCAATCAATGCAGCAAATTTCACAGCTGTCTTATTTTAAGAAATTGCCACATCCACCCTGACCTTCAGCAGCCACCACTCTGATCGGTCAGCAGCCATCAACACTGAGGCAAGATCCTCCACCAGCAAAGAGATTGTGACTTCCTAGAAGTTCAAATGATGGTTAGCATTTTTTTTAAATTAAAGTATGTATATTAGTTTTTTAAACATAATGCTATTGTACACTTATAAGACAGTAATATAGTGTAAACATAACTTTTATATGCACTGGGAAACCAAAAAATCCATTCTTATGGCGGTCTGGAACCAAACCTGCAGTATCTTTGAGGTATGCCTACAAATAGGGAACTAGGCAACTTTTATTAAATCTAGATATGCAAACTATATCATAAATGTGCTCACTTCCAAAGACATCTGCCATAATATGTGTAAACTTTGTACAACTAAAACCTAGGATGTTTTGAGTGCTTAAGCCAGAAGAAGGTAGGTGTTTTCCAAATTCTTAAAAACCAGTTAATAGGAGCACTTGGTGGCTCAGTCAGTTAAGCATCTGACTCTTGATTTTGGCTCAGGTCACGATCTCATGGTCATGGGATGGAGGCCTGCATCAGACTCCAAGCTCAACAGAGAGTCTGCTGGAGAGAATCAAGCTGAATCCTCTCCCTCCCCTCCCCTCCGCCCCTGCCCCTGCTTGTGCGTGTGCTCTCTCTCTTGCTCTCTCTCTCAAATCAATCAATCTTTAAAAAACAAAAACAAACAAACAAAAAAACAATAGCTAGGGAGACTATGCTCACATTTCATTTTGGTATTTATATTAATTTGCTTAACCTCACCTAATTCATTCTTTCTCTCTCTCTCTAGTTACCTGAACAAGAATAAATACCTGTCAGCTATCGACAAAGATGCATTTGGAGGAGTGTACAGTGGACCAACCTTGCTGTGAGTAAGGCATACAAAAGAATATGTCAGTCCTTATTTTATTTTATTTTATTTTATTTTATTTTATTTTATTTATTTGGAATGAAGGGGTCACTAAGAGGAGTAGCTGATGCTTATGGGTAGGGAATGTTGATATCTTGGCTGAAGACTTTCACCAGTACTCTCCTGCCCAGCGGTTTAGGCTACTGCTTGGAAGAAAGTCCTTGTTCTTTGAGACTCAGAAGGCCTTACACTCCACCATGCCATCCTGATGCCTCATCAGGAAGTCACCTTGGTGTGGACATTTATAGAGGCCCTCTTGTGGAAAAAAAAAAACAGCTTTGAGCAGCTGCTATTTGCAAAAATTCTGAGATATAGATCTACAAATACGTAGAAGGCACTCTATCCAGAGAAGTATGTGTGTGAATGTGCACTGCACAATGCCTGGCATGAAGAAGGAAGAGTATAGTTTGGTTCGTTTCTGGTAAAACTTACAATCACTAGAAAAAATGGGACATAATTATTTTTAAAACAGCAGAAAAAATATCTATTTGTGCATTTCTTCGATTCCTATCGCCATATCTAATAGGTGATCAAGTTCTGACAATTTTTGTCTCCCTCAAGTATGTTTATCAGTACCATCTCTCCTCTTCCCTGGTTTTGCCTTTGTTCAGAATCTCACCATTGAGCATCTGGTCAAGTTCTTGCCAAAGAAGAACATAGCACCCCAGGAGAGATACAAGCTAATCCATTAGAGGCAAGAAGAAATATTAAAAGTTCTATTTATACTTAAGTTTTTAAAAATGAGAGCAAATCAAGTTTTGCTACTATTTTATCCACAAATGACTACGGTCCCTCAGGTGTCAGGTAGGGAATGGATGCATCCCCAGGGAATAATGGGTGATCCACAGTTCAAAGACTTAACATCTATACTCTCACTTTTAACAATTGTGCTTCCCTTTCAGATTAAATACACCTAGTTAAGTGAATTCTTAACCTTATTTTCTCAACAGATAGGCTCCATATGAGAAGGCAAAGTGACCCTGAAAAATCTACTGTACGACATGGGGGTTCTTTGTTAACTCATGGCAAAGTACTTAGAATGTTTTTCTTTCTATAAAAACACAAGTGAAAAAAAAAGTGTTGACCTTTTCTGTGTTTTTTTTTTTTTTTAACATGGAAGATACTTTTAAAAGACAACTTTAGGGATCCCTGGGTGGTGCAGTGGTTTGGCGCCTGCCTTTGGCCCAGGGCATGATCCTGGAGACCCAGGATCGAATCCCACATCGGGCTCCCGGTGCATGGAGCCTGCTTCTCCCTCTGCCTGTGTCTCTGCCTCTCTCTCTCTCTCTGTGACTATCATAAATAAATAAAAATTTAAAAAGAATAAAAAATAAAAAAATAAAAGACAACTTTAACTGCCCCTTCAAGATAAAGGTGATATTTCACTAATGAATATTGTTTTTCTGAAGAAATTTGTGCTTTGGAAAGGGACTTTAGAAACAAGTATTTAAAAACATTTCCATGTTATGTGATTTTCCTGATGAGAATGGTGAATGTCATTTATGAAAATTATGTTTTGTTAAAGCCAGAAATTGAATTTTACCCTGTTGAAATATATTGCAAATTAATAATTACAGTGTATTTAAAATCCATTTGTATAAAATATGAAAATGAAACACCTTTAGGTTAGTGTGCAAAGACAACTGATTGACATCTGAGAATATGAATTTCAATAAAAACATGTGTTTAATTCCTGAATTGGATTGAGAGATGAGAATCTTAACTTCATAAGTACTGCCAAGCTGGCCTTATTCCATGTGGAACCATTTATCTTTGTGAGGTAACTTTTTCATTGACAGCCATTTAAACCAAAATCAAAATAAACTGAACCAGAAGCAGACCCTTGGAATACCTACATCAGAAAGGGTTAAACAGCAATTTTTGAAATTAGTGAAGTATATTTAGTTACACTGCTTTCACTTTAGTGAAATTTTAAGAAAATATTATTTATTTTCATCTTATCCTTTTTAAATTTATGTTCAGAGTTTTTTATAATCTGTATTATGTGTATTACAGTAATATGTATGTAAAGCTCATAAATGTGTATATGTTAAAGGCATGTACTGAAACATTTTTTACTTGTGAATATGTGACATTGGGAGAATTTAAAGACCACATACACTCAAATTGGGGGTCTGCTACAAGATGAATGGCTGGCTCAAGAATCAAAATACAGCTTCCTTTATGGAGAAAATCTTCCCATGAGAGCACAGTTGCCCCACTGAACAGTGTGCTTGCATTATACCATAAGCTTCTTATGTTTGTCAAGGACTCATAAGAATAAGTTAGCCAATGGGCACCATGCTTTGATAGCACTAGTCTAGATGACAAGAGCCTCCAAATCTCCCTTTGCCTTCTATATTGGTCCCTCTCAATTCCATCCTCCCCAAACCTCTGTGTGTTAAAATGCAAGTAGGATTTTAACATGTAATGCTGGTCTCCTATACCCTCAGGGTAAAGACCTTGGTGTGGCATGCAAGGCTCTGTTATAATCTTCAGCTTTGTCTCTCCTACCACTATACACTCCAGACCAATGATCCATGCATATTAGCTCCCCTAATGCTCCAACCTACGCACATGGCAACATTAAGTTCTTGCTTTTAATACTGCTTGGAAAATCCTACCACAACCTTATCCATCTGATGAACACTTATTACCACTTTGACATTCGAGTAAAAATCACCTTCTTTCTGAAGTTATTCTTAACCCTTCCTCCCTAGGTAAAAATATACATTTTTTCTTCTATATTCCAGTATCTCTATGTATGTATGTATCTCAAAGCACCAGGAACATGTTTCTGTCTATCTCTCCAGAAGCTCCTACAGGTCAGGATTTGTGTTTTATTTCTACAGTTCTACTTCATCTTACAATGGCTGAAACACAGTGCTATCTTAATAAATGTTAGCAAAATTAGCCTGGTACACAATAAATATTTGAATCACACTTCTGTAAATGCTATAGCCTTTAAATAGCAATCACATTATGAGGCACCTGTGACACATCCAAGCAGTGATACCTACAGATGTGAAAGCAATAGGAGAGATCAGGGCTAGAGATGTATTTGAGATGCTTTGGGATGTAGGTGGTAATGGGAGGTATAAGTATGGAGTAAATCTCAATGAATAGAATGGAGACTTCTGATAATCCTCCCCCCACCCCCCCAAAAAAGTAATTTTCACTGATCCTTCCTTAGACAACATTAAAATGGGAATACTTTATAAAAAAAGAGCATAAATTAAAAAGCATAAATTATCAGTGACAAGGTGAGGGGAAGAGGTGACATATGAGTAAGTGGTAAGTGTCTTGAAAAACCAAGAGAGAATGGCATGCTAACTATGCTGATTCAAAATCACAAAATCTAGGAACTGTTTCATCAGTTAAGTCTTCATTATTCTGCAGGTGAGGTATAGATGACACTGAAGTCAGAAGTCTTTAAAATGTTCACCTGTTCCCCCAGGTCTCCTCTCCCAACCTGCACAGGTGAACAACTACTCTTTATCGACCCGAGAAGAAGATTAGAGTTTACTTTCTGTTCAAGTGACATCACCACTGTTGAAGGATAATAGGCACCATTGAGGGTAGAAATGAAACACTATTCTGCAAACAGGATTATGTAAAAGTTTACATACTATAATATAAGACCAACAAGTTTCTTATCCACTCAATTCACAGAGTATTGTCACCAAAGTTAATACCTTCCAGGAGGGAGATTACAGTTCTGGGGAGGCTGACAATCCTAACGTAAGAAAAAACCTACAAAAAATGCTCATTGATATTTCCCCAAAGATACTGAAGTAAAGCCCATCAGGCAACAAACCAACACACATAGAGCTTTCCATAAACCTCCTCCACAAACATGAACAGGCATCCAAGGGTCCCCCAAACCTTAGGGGAAAGCTGTTGTCATGAAAAACAGAGACTAGAACAGAGAAGGGAACTTTAAAGAATAGAGGTAAAGCAAGAAACAGAAAACTTTAATAAGGGCAGCCCTGGTGGTGCAGCGGTTTAGCACCGCCTGCAGTCCAGGGTAAGATCCTGGAGACCCGGGATCGAGTCCCACATCGCGCTCCCTGCATGGAGCCTGCTTCTCCCTCTGCCTCTCTCTCTCTCTCTCTCTCTCTCTCTCTCTGTCTCTCATGAATAAATAAATAAAATTTTTAAAAAAGAAAACTTTAATAAAAATTATAACAAATATCCTCAGAGAGATAGCTTTTCATGCATAACTTAACTACTTATATAGTAATATTCTGAAAACAAGAAAAAGCTTTTGACTCCTAGAATAAAACACCAGGAAAACTTTCTTGACATAGGTCTTAGCTATGAATTTTTTAAATATGACACCAAAAGCACAAAGCAACAAGAGCAAAAATAATCTAGTGGGACTACATTAAACCAAAAAGCTTCTGCACAGCAAAGGAGACATTCAGAAAAATGAAGAGGCAACCTACAGAATAGGAAAATATTTGCAAATCATATATCTGATAATAGACTCAGAACAAAGATAAATAAGGAACCCCTACAGCTCAATAATAAAAACAATAACAACAAATATTCTAATTAAAAAATGGGCAAAGAGGCAATCTAGAAGAAATGGATGCATTTCTGGAAAACCACAAACTACCAAAACTGGAACAGAAAAAAAACAGAAAACCTGAACAGGCTGATAACTGGAAGGAAATTGAAGCAGTCATCAAAAAGCTCACAAGACACAAAAGTCCAGGGCCAGATGGCTTTCCAGGGCAATTCTATCAAACATTTAAAGAAGAAACAATACCTATTCTACTAATGCTGTTCTGAAAGATAGAAAGGGACAGAATACTTCCAAACTCGTTTTGAGGCCAGTTTTAATTCTAAAACCAGACAAAGGCCCCACCAAAAAGGAGAATTATAGACCAATATCCCTGATGAACACAGAGGCAAAAATTCTCAACAAGATACTAGCCAATAGGATCCAACAG